GCTCTACTATTTAACCACGCCGAAAGAAATGTTAATTTGTTAAACATTGGTTTAGTTTAAATTTTACCTGTCATGGCGAAGAAGCTGTAGATGAATCTTGTTTCGATTTTTTGTCTCCAGCCGACGATGAGCATGAAGAGGGGAGCGATGATGATGACGGCATTCGATAAGGTATTCCCTGGGGAGACAACACAAATTGTGAACGTAGACCATTCGGATAGAGTACGTAGTGTTTCCATAGCAGGGTTTCTTCTAGACTTATTTCTCCGGGGGAGGGGGGGGGGGGGCAACTGATATTTTCTGGGGGGGGGGGGGGGAGGGGGATACACTACTAAAAGTATGTTTTCTATGTATTAATTTCATTCGAGGTAGACACCCCCCCCCCCCCCCGAAGAGATGCCTGGAAGAAACTCTGTATGGTGGGATTAGTACAATTTTTAAACTTAGAATAATCGTATACATAATGTTTCCATTGTGGAATCGGTACAAATAGTAAACTTTAAATAGACGTGCAATTTAGTGTTACCGTATAACAAACGCGACTGTCCTCTCGTTTATAACTTTTGGGATAATATGTTAGTGGCTCATCGTAATTTTATTTTTTTTTAACAGTTTTTTTTATTGCACTTTATCTTAATATTGTAATTTTGCAGGGAATTTCCCCAACTTAATTAAGTATTCCGTGTCAACATGTTATGATCCGTTGATTTAAGCCTGCTTTTCTTTGTTTTCTTCCATAGCCTTTGTCCATCAGCAACGAATCCGCAGTTTTATTTAGGAGTTGTCTCTCCTAGATGGGTTGCTGTCCCTAGCTAGCGAGCCCCATCTTCCCTGAGTCAGAATATTTGGGACTTTTGGGTCATGCTCTCTGCCATCCGACTACGACGTAGTTGTTTATTTATTCAGTATGATGAAGAAATGTAGTACTAGCTAACATATGTTATCTGGTGTAATTTTTTAAAATTACTTTTCTGACCATGTGACCTTATATAAACCTCATCAAGTCGAATAGAAGTTGATTGTCTTTACCCTAACACTGGTCCTAACCTTAGCTCTAGCCCTGACCAGTGGAGCTAGGGGAGGGCAGGTGGAGCGCCCGCCACGGACGCCGTTCCTAAGGGGGCGCCAAAAGGGGTAGAAAAAATATAAAAAGCTCATTTTAAGCTAGGATATTGAATTAAACACAGTCAAAGTGCAGAAGGTAAACAGCTAGAAGTCTTCACACACTGATTTAACGGTTTTCTACATCAATTGTGTTGCAAAACAACAAAAACCTTTACGGGTTAATCACTGGTAAAAAGTGCCACCAACCTTTCCAACTGTGAAGTGGAGTGGGGTGTTTTTTCACCAACTTGAATAACTAAATAAATAACTATATATATATATATATATATATATATATATATATATATATATATATATATATATATATATATATATATATATATAAAAGTGGGCGGGGCGGGGGTCGCAAAATTGATAGTTTGCCCCGGGCGCCGGAATGGGTTGATACGTCTCTGACCCTGACTCCAGCCCTAACCTGACTATTGCAGGGAAATCTTTACAGTAGTTTTTTTTTAAATTTGTATGGTTTACAAAGATCCTTATACTGTGCAGCGAAGCGCAGCTATCATTTACGAATGAATGGCTCTGTTGATTACTGGACATTAAAACTTCAGAAAAAAAATGTAACAAATAAAAGTACAAATTTATTTTTTGAAATTATTGAAAACTCACAGAATTCAGCGATGTAATAACTGACGACATAATTATCCTCACACCAGTCGACCGTTGACGTCTGCTTGCCCCAATAGCCGTGTGTAGGCGCCATTGGTTTAGTCTCGTCTGCTTGCGTCCTTGATTTGGAGTGACTGCAGTTAGAGTTGACTGTCCAGGTACCTCAATACTAAACCCAAATAAAAATTATGTTAATGAGAAAGGGAGAAAATGGATCATTGAGATGATTATAGTATAGTACGTTATTTTTGTTCTTATTACAACTGAAATAAGAGTTGCATATTCATGAGGGATTTAGACATGTGAACGCTAAAACCAATAGTGAATTTTTATGACCTTGTGGTGTTTTGAAGAGTTATCGGTCCTTGTTTTTTGCATGATTATCGTTACTACTCAACGTTCAGCTGTTTAAAAGCACCGTTTGTCAAAATTATTATAATCATTTATGCTGAACGAATATCCACGGATAATGTTTCGATACTTAAAATTGATGGAGCAGATGCTTGAAAATGATGTTTGAAAATGGTACCGTAAATCAGTATACCTAACTAACTTAAATAAGCGCTAAACCATTTTATCGCCTAACCTAACTTACTGATGTCTAATTTCGCTTTCTGATATATATATATATATATATATATATATATATATATATATATATATATATATATATATATATATATATATATATATATATATATATATATATATATATAGATAGGCATCGGTGTTACGGGATTAGGACCCCCCACGACACCAAAATGAACGTTGTCTAGCCTTAAGTTACAGCTATTGCGGAAGGTGTACATGTATAAATATATATATATATATAAGGATATTATATAAAATCGTACATGATACAAACTGAATGAGACTGTGAATTGTTTGTTCATAACGTTGCATGAATTATTCATGTCCAATGCTAATTAGACAGCTGGCGAGTGATCAAAACAATATTTTCCTTCACCCAAACATACATATATACAGTGCAAGGTAGATACTCTATTATTCACTTCTGACCAGACGCGCGGAAGGCGATGTGTTTCCATGCCGTGTGAGTGGTGGGTTCGGATCCCGTTTGGCTAAAACGACATAGTCTTTTCTAAGACTATATTGTGTATGTGTCTACAATTGACATTGTAGTAATAATTTATTCCTATATTGCTATTAGACATATTCACTGAATCCCCGTAGGTACATTTATCTCAGACTGAAGTATCAAATATGTTTCATAATACAATTAAATATATGTAAACATATTTTATACGCCTTTAAGAAACATTATGAGAGAAACAAAACTCAAGTTAAGCCTAACCTACTTGTTTCAATCTCATCATCATCTTTTCCCGTTCGTGCCCAAGACACATCGGGCAGATGAAGTAGAGTTCATATGTTTCAGATACCTCGTCATATGAAGGGATAGTGTTTCTATATACTATCTACAATTTTCATTTAATTATAAATTGTAATTATGAGTTACCGAAAATTATCTTACCATACTCTTCAGCTTTTCTACAAGTTTTGCAGCTAGAAGATGTGTGTCTTAAAATTCTTCATATCATCTTTTAAAACCACTTTACATAGACATTCCCTGCAAATAAAATTACCACAGATATAGACTTAAAAACATATTTCAATTTTAGAAAATAAAACCGCTACTCAATTTTGTTCTGCTCTATAAATAAGACTTAAGCTAAATTCCTTTACGTGTTAATTTATTATCTGCTTAGTATGGCGAGAATGCAAAAAGAGAGTCGTGATATAGGGGAAACTAAGAGGATGTAGAGTACACACGGGTTGGGAGCTACGTATAAAAGTGCCGACTTTTTCAAGATCAGTCAAGCGGAAACCAGTGCGAGTGGGGTGGAACACTTGACGGACTAGATTCCAAAACATTTTTATTTCAAAGGCAGCACAAGCGGCGTTGACGGTTTTGTTTTTGTTTTGTTTTTGGTTTTTTTTTGTTGGGGTTTTTTTTTCGTTTTTTTTTGGGGGGGGGGGGGGTCTTTTTTTTTCAAAACTAAATGATGTAAAAAAAAAATAAGCAAAATAAATGATGCGGGGAAAAAAGCAGATTCGTTCAGCCAAGCGAGGATAATAAAGTAGTGTGTCGCAGAGGCGTAGCGAGAAGGGGGGGGGGGGGGGCGGGGGTGCCGACCGCACCGGGAGACACCATTTAGGGGGGTGGCACCAAGGCAAAAAATAGTAAAATATATAGAGAAAAATTTGAGGGGGGGGGGGTGCTAATCGAAAGTTTGAGAGGGGTGCAAATTGAACGTTTGAGTGGGGGTGCAAATCGAAAATTGAAAGTTTGTCCCCGGGAAGAGTCACTACGCCCCTGGGGGGTGACACCATTAAGTGCCGCACCGGGGGACACTCGACCTCGCTACGCCACTGGTGTGTCGGATAGATGCGGTTTGTTATAAACACGCCCCACCCTCATAGTAAGAGAGTAGCTTTGTAATGTCCCTAACCCTCAACCCCAATAAAGATCGGATGAATGTCTGAAAACCAGTAATTCAAGGCATGGAATGACTTTGTTATATAAAACTTTGTTTTGAAAATAAAAATACAACCCGCGTTTCCCAACGGTATTATAGGCAGGGCTATGGTTATGATTAACGTAGTGAATGTTAGCAAAACAAAATCTTGATACAAATCTTGATAATCTTGATTCCTTAATTAATACTTAATGACATATATTCATTATACCACTTGTGCGGCTGTTTGGTTGTTTGTTTTTCTTTCAAGTGACGGTGTGGCCTGCTAGTCAGAAAGTTTCGAGTTCGAATCCGGGTTCAAGTCAGTAGAACGTTCCTGAGTCCACCCAGCTCTGATGAGTACCTAACTCATGTTAGGGAAAGCAAAGGCGGCCGGGCATTCAACACAGTATCCCTTTATATTCCAAGGTCAAGAAACATGAACTCTACTTTATCTGCCCCATGTGTCTTGGGCACGAACCGGAAAAGATAATGAATGATGATGAAGAAGAAATTCTCGAAGATTTCGTTGAGTCATTTCACAACAGAAACTAGTGTATAAAACAAACAAAGACCGATAACTGTGTACTGACTGTGTACTCACAATGTAATTACACACATTCAACACACATTGTGTTATTTATTCAGGTCCAGCAGCTGTGTTGGTCGTTTAGCCGGCGGGTAATTAGCTATCGATGTTTTTGTAATTAATTAACAAAGTATTATATTACTGCGTCGGTCGAGTGTGGACTAATGGTTAAGTGTTGTTGTGAATATAATCGATTACAATTAGTTTATAATTAAATATCACTAAACGGATCACTTTTCCTGCAATTTTAATAGGACTGATAGCAGTTTCAGTTACAGATAAAAACAAGAAAGAAACCATACAACTAAAACTGATGTGGGATAGTTTGTTGTTTTTTGTGGTGGTTATTTTGTTTGGTTTAACCATATTTTACATACGGCGTGGTCGGATGGTTGAACGTACGACTATTAACCCAAAACTCAAGAGTTCGGATCTCGGTCCCTGAGTCCATCCAACTCTGATGTACACGTGACTCACGTTAGGGAAAATAAACGCGGCTGGGTATTGTGCTGGCCACAATATTCTTTTATATGCCGAGATCACAGAAACAGGTGAACTCTATTGCATCTGTTCCGTGGATCGCAAAGTGCGAAAGCTTATTTCACTGACTTATTTGAACCAGAGGCGTCGTGAGGCGGGGTGTGCTGACCGCACAGGATGACACCATTTAGATGATGACACCAGAACAAAAATGTTGCAAGATATATATAATAAATGTTTTTTTCTAGTTGAATGAATGGTTAATTCAAGTTAAAAATTATTTAAAGTGCATAATGACGATCTCGACAAGGGGGGGGGGGTGAAACCATGATATACACATGCAAGCTATAGAGAAGACAGCGCTACATCCAACTGTATTAACAACCGACTATGTATAAACATCGTTAGTATTAAATGTTTACACTTTAAAGATTTTACCTTGGGGGGGGGGGGGGGGGGTGGGGGTGATACCAACCGCAAAATTTACAGAGACAGCCGATATAGCGACAGACGCCACTGATTTGAATCACAGTTTGACGTTTAAGTTGTTTTATTTTTATTTTATTTGTTTGAAAAACCTGCTTTCTTAGATAATACAGATTTCTTTGGGATTTAAATATAAGAAAGCTGCCACTTTGCTTGTCACTACATTTGTACTTTTGTATCGCAGACTTCATTATTGCTAATTATTAACCAACCATCTGGTTTTATTTGTCTATCACTATCTTGTATGCCAACTCTCATTTTTTTTAATTCACCGGAGATTGTCTTCAATCCGATGCAATATGTTTGTCATTGATAAAATGGTTTTAATTCGGGTTTTACAGATAAACGCACTAAACATGACAGTCATAGTTAAACAGTTATACGCCAGTCTGCATATGTGAAATTGCTATATACATAGGCCTACATAGCTCAATGCAGACTAAATTCCATAATAAGATGTACATTATAAGACATTACCTTGGCATAAAGTACTGTGAAGCAAGGAAACATTTAGCTCAGCAAACATACATCCAAACCAAATCTATAACTGGACTATCCGTTTTCGTGTACTGTAACTGGGTTAAAACATTTAGCTGTCACGATTTCTAAAGCGACGGTAGGTTGGTAAAGGCGTGTAGGGGCAAGCACTCTCTTTACACCATTTCGTGCTTGTATGAAAGAAACATGAGAAAACACGTTTCAAAAAGTTGTTGCCCTTTATTTTCCCGTTTATGTTAAACAAAGTATGAAATTATTACTTAAACGTAAAATGAATCAATCGTTGTTTGAAACAAAATAAAAGGAACATGTGTTTAAAATACAATAAAAATGTAGCTTTGTATAAGGCTTCAGGTGTTAAATTAATGCAAGATTGCAACCGGATATGGGGATATGTATGTATGGGGGTAGGGGTGAAGGAGGGGAGTGGGCATGGCTGGTTGACGCTCAATTAATTTTTTATTTTGTGAATGATTTAATGTATATAACTGAATTACAAATAGCCCCTATATTATTTTTTCGTGCATTGAAGCATGTATTTTAAATCATTTAAGAACTAGACTGTTGTGTCATGTCTGCGATATGATTTTAACGCAGGTGAGATAAAAAGTATAAACCTAATTAACGTACATTTAAATATTAAATAATTTCACACCTGTTCCCTTTTTAAAAATGCAGGTTAATTATGTACCCGTTGTGATAATCAATGAACTACCAGTGATTGGTGCTCTCGATTTTTTTCTTTGTAATGGTGTCCAGTGTTTCTTTCAGACTTTTTTTCTCCTAGGGAGGGGGGAGCATTGAAATTTCCAGGTGCATACTTAAAATTTCAGGGGGTAGACTGTTACCGTAGACACTGGTTAAAGTATATTTTTTAATTTCTATCATGCCCGCGGCATGAAGGCAGTTAGTAGCGGCCTGTATGGCAGCAATAGTTTGTTTTATTTTTTCATAATTCGAGAGTTTATTTAACAGGCTTAAGGGACTATCAAACAGGCTTGATATTGTGTTTGTGATAATATTAGTATTTAGAATACACGAAAGTGGGGAGTAAAACAGATAGGTTCATCTATATTAGTTTGCAGAGGCGTAGCGACCTATTCCGGCGCCCGGGCGAACTATCAGTTTTTGCTCCTCAACCCCCATTTATAAATAGTTAATCACGTTGACTAAAAAGCGCCCCCACTCAACAGTTTTTTAGTGTCACGCAATACATGTAGAAAACGGTTAGTCCGTAAAGTCATATGCAGTCTACTGTTTTAAAAACTTTGTAATGCTGCAAGAATGAGCTTTTCATTTTATTTTCTATCCCGTTTGGCGCCCCCTATGGACGACGCCCAGGGCGCCCGCCCCACCCGCCCTCCCCTAGCTACGCCTCTGTTAGGTTGTATTACATTGTCAAAATTGCACCTCGAATCTGTATATTCGAGTAGAACTGGTCTTATGGTGTTATCTTCAAATTTCAACAATGACACAGTAGTAGTGTCAGACAAAAGAAATAATACCACACCTTCTGTCTCGCTGTTAAGAACATCTGGGGTGATAATATCATAATACTATCCCTCTACTCCCAGTGTTTCTCAGGTATTTTTCTATGGGGGGGGGGGGGGGACACTTGAAACTTTCGGAGTAGGCATACATACATTTTAGCGGGGGTGGGGTGAATGCTTGTTAAAGTATATATTTTCGATATAAACTACATAATCATTCTAATTCGTCTGGGGGGGAGGGGGTCTGTCGTCTCTCCCCCCACCCCCCACCCCAACCATCCCCAACCCCCCAGCCCCGAAGAGATGGCTGATGACACCATCCCTTAAACCTTCACACCCCTCTGTTGACGCCAGTGTTGACTTACATCATCGCAGCCTCGTAACTCGGAATGTTTCAGTTTAGGTTCAAATTTCAGTTTAGGGTCAAAGTTCAAGGCAGCGGAGATTAGTTTAAAACTTTGGAATGCTGGATAAGTAAACAAAACATAACAAAGTTCTTGCTGAAGTATTGCAACTTTAGGGCCGGGTCAAACCACAAACAGTAAACAATGTCACGAATTGAAACAGA